GTGCAAGAGAAACTCCTAGAATAGCGCCCTGCACTCGTCAATTGCAGAAATGTCATTCTTTTACACGACAACGCGCGACCGCATACAGCAATGGTGACTCAAGAAAAAATTCTTGAGCTTGGATGGTCTGTTTTACCACATCCACCTTACTCCTCAGATCTTGCCCCGACAGACTACCACCTTTTCTGTTCCTTACAAAACTTTTTAAATGGAAAAACCTTCAATTCTGAAGAGCAAGTCAGGCAGGCTGTTGAAAGCTTCTTCCAGTCCAAACCAACCACATTTTACAAGGAAGGAGTTGATAAACTACCAGGAAAATGGGAGAAGGTTATAGAAAATAGTGGTGAATATATAATAAAATAATATAATTTTGTTGTTTAATGAGAACGAAATAAATGTCTGATAAAAAAACGGAAGTTACTTATGGCTCGACCTCATATTATAACTGTGAATAGTTAGTGTTGACTGACGCATCTAGCAAATAAATTATACAGCAAGGGGTTAAATCCCCTGAACTCTCCGAATTTTATGAACGCACGTTGTATAATAACAACCCATCACAGTCTTTCGATTATGATAAACTTGGTCGTCTTTTAGCCACTAAATTTATTGCTCATATCGTTGTTCATTCCCGGATATGAGCAAGCTGAAGGCACGTGAGAAGTTGTATGGGATACCTGAAAAGTGTGTCTGTGTAAAGTGTTCTAGAACTTCCCTCTAGCTGCAAGTCATCTTACCGATAGGATCACTGAGACCATAAAGTTTTGATTGAAAGCTTATAATGAAAATCTTTCACAACCTGCAGCTAGGGGTACAACCTAGGCTTCCTTGCAGAAATTCTTCCACAGATTTCTCTTAGTAACTCACACGAGTTTTTTTTTTTTTATAGTTTCTAGGACTTGTAGTCGTTCAATGTCGATTCTGTGTTGATCTTGCTGGCCTTGGTTTCTTAAATTTTATGTTCCACCAGAGTATTTTAGGACAAGTTCCTCAGCTTGATTGAATAAGCTATTTGTGGGAACGGGAAATGGTGAAATAACTTAGTACATTTTTGTAGAAAATAGCGAGCTACGAATAGTGTAATCAAAAATATATAAGTGTGTTCAACAAATCGAACTTAGCTTTTTTATTTTCTTTAAGTGGCTATGTAAAGAAAACTAACTTCCCAGATAATTTACTCGAAAACTTGAAATCGTTTGAAAACAAGATAATTTTCCCAAAATACACAATTATTTATACCCATAAGGTGCAATGAAGTGTACATAATGTACAAAAACATTAATTTAGAGTATAAAACATAAACATTTATGTAGCAAAACATATTGTCATATTTTTTAACAAATATACTGTGCTGTATATATGCAAAAGTTATATATATCAAAAATTTTAATTATTCCAGATGAATATTCTCACGTCTGTAGATAAATTGTTGAAAAATAATTAAAAGTGTGTATTTTAGGTTTGTAATGATTCAAAACACAAAAATCGAATTTCCAAAGTTAAAAATAACATCTTCAGGAATTAAAAGGTGGAAAAAAATATCGTTACGACAATTTAACTATTTTACTTCGCAATTCTAAAATCTAAATGAAATATTAATATTCTACAAAGTTTAATTTCAGAGCCTCCATGTTAAGATGTATTTTGGTTGTAAATATAACATATGCACTATTTTGGACTGCACATAGAATTATGTTACAACTTTTTTTCATCAAATTATAAGTAGTGGTTCCCAAACTGTATAACATCCTGAAGAACCGTAACTGGGTTTCAAACACATCACAAAGAATTTTAATGTTCTAACAAAAAAGATGTTTAACCCATTTGAATTTAGAATTGAATCATTGATGTATTAATGCGACAATACGAAGAACTAATCGATAAATAAACCTATGTTTTAATTTTAGTCACCGTTGAAAGATTTTGATATATGAACATGAGCCAGTTATTATCCACAAGATAGTATTTTTGTTTGTGTTGCCTTGCTGAATCTTACTTGAATATTATCAAATATTTGTAATTTTCCTTCAATGTAATAAAAATAATCACCCTATTTTACATCTGCTTTAAAATTGAACACCGCAGTTTTCTATTTCTTGTGGTATAAAAATGTTCCAGGGGTAGAAACTCATCGAAGACTCCTAGTATAGTATGAACATAGAGTTATGTTCACGAATAAATTGAAAAATCCATATACAGTGGTATAAATCACTGTAAATAGGGCAGGACACTCATGCGTGATCACTACTAACGACACGAAGTAACGCAGCACGATTTTATTATACAGAATGTCTCACAACTATTGTAGGTCCTAAAATGGGGGGTAGCTGACCTGATTCTGAATAAGATTTCCCTTTATAAAAATGGAGCTTGAAGCTTCGTTTTTGAATTATTACGCAAAAACACACTCTCAGCCATTAGGCTCGAAGCTATCGCTCTCGCGTCTGCACATGCGTAATCCTCGCGCTCTGATTGGTCCGTGTTTTTCCTTAATAATTCAAAAACAAAGCTTCAAACTCCATTTTTGTGAAGGGAAATCTTATTCAGAATCACATCAGCTACCCTCCATTTCAGGAACCTACACTAATTGTGAGACAACCTATATAAGCTTAACCCCTTAACTTGTAGGCTCGAGTTAATTCGAGCGCGCTAAACAGGCTAAACTGTGCACACTCGAGATAATTCGAGCGGCGTTTTTCGTTTTATTGATATTTATCATTTACATGGGATTGTAAGCTATAACACTTATTTATTCAAGAATAAAATATAGCCTTTTTCCATAGAACAAAAGCGCAGTATATAAAAATTGACTTTTCTGTTCGATTTCTTCAAAAAAAACTGTGCGTTAAGGGGTTAATAACAGATAAAGTCAATTATATCCAAATTAGTCATAGTTCTATTTATGACTGCCACTTTCTTGATTAACTCAAAGATATGATTCCATCGTTTTCGTTTTTATACACTCGTCGTTTATAAACTAAAAACTGAAAGAAGCAGTGTATGCTTGCAACAAAAAATGTTTTTGTTTGAAGGTTCAAAACAATATGTACATAAATGTATAAACGGCGTCCATTAAGAACAACTTGTCTATCTCAAAAACTGGTACCTTCACATCTAGTTTATTTTTACTGTACTTTTATAACTCCATTCTGGATAATTATTATTAATTAATTTTTGTACTGAAAGCATTATGCAAAGGTTCTAAGGTAAAGAGATCATTAATTGACCAGTTTTTAGAAAACATAAAAAGAATAAGGTTTTTATAATTTGTGCACTTTTAATAAACTTTAGATGCGAAATTCAGCTGCTGCGATATCTGTCAGATAAATTTTAAAACAATTACATGTGAAGTTAGGTATGCTGACTGATAAAAAACATCTAAATTCATTAATATAAATAATATGCCATTATATTTCTGTTTCCATAAAGTTTTCGTTAAAAATAGCTGTACGGTTCAGGTAACATACGTTCAAGTTCATTTGGCGAATAAAATATTTCTTTTAGTGTACGAGATCAGCTACTAACGAACAGAGAGTCAATTACTATTTCTTTAATTTTTAAGAGCGGTCAACTTCTGTAGCATTTACCGAATTTCTAAACATACTTTTTAAATTTCTATAAATAACTTAACTTTTTTTAAAAAGTGTTCTTGTTGCATAATACAGAAGACTTACGAGGTGTGATCATTAAGTTCTGGGACTGGTCCCGTATATGCAGATAAAGTCACCTGTTTCAAATTTGGCTACTATCTCCTTCAAAGTACACCTTTTGGGCGGCCACGCACCGATTCCAGCGCCTCTGCCATTTTTTGAAAGCTTCCTAGAAGTCTTTTTGTCGAAGTGTGTCAAGCACTTGCTGCGATTAGCGTTGAATCTCATCCACCGTGTCAAATCGGCGCCCCCTGAGCTTTAATTTGATTTTGGGAAACAAAAAGAAATCACAGGGTTCTAAATATGGTGAATACGGAGGGTGAGAAAGGACGACCATGTTCCATTTTTTTTTTTATGTCCCTTTGTTCCAATTTAGACTCTATCGTGATTTCGCAAAGGAGAGCGTGCATATGCTACCATAAACTTGTATAACACAGGATTCAATGAAGATAATGCTTCCAAACTTCGTGTCATATGTTTTGAAGATTGTTATTCATATGTCCTGCGAGCGCAAGTCAATCGTGTGATCATTACATACATCAAATTTGATTATTTAATGACAGAGCAAGCGGTTACCATTATTAAGGTAGAAAATTTCTCATAACTGGTCAATTGCTGATGCCATCACCTTAAATGTATTAGGTTGAGTCATAAGTAACTTCCGTTTTTTTATCAGACATTTATTTCGTTCTTATTAAACAACAAAATTATATTATTTTATTATATATTCACCACTATTTTCTATAACCTTCTCCCATTTTCCTGGTAGTTTATCAATTCCTTCCTTGTAAAATGTGGTTGGTTTGGACTGGAAGAAGCTTTCAACAGCCTTGCCTGACTTGCTCTTTAGAATTGAAGGTTTTTCCATTTAAAAAGTTTTGTAAGGAACAGAAAAGGTGGTAGTCTGTCGGGGCAAGATCTGAGGAGTAAGGTGGATGTGGTAAAACAGATCATCCAAGCTCAAGAATTTTTTCTTGAGTCACCCTTGCTGTATGCGGTCGCGCGTCGTCGTGTAAAAGAATGACATTTCTGCAATTGACGAGTGCAGGGCGCTTTTCTAGGAGTTTCTCTTGCACTCTTTGCAATTGCTGAATGTATTATATTTATCCGCAGTAATCGTTAAATTTGACTTCAACAACTCGTGGTGACTTATACCTTTATAATCTCACCATACACACAATAAAATCTATTTAGCTGCATCGGAAGTTACTTATGACTCGACCTAATATTTAGTGAAATGTAAACCGAAAAAGTTCAGGAATCACTAATCTATAGAATATGTGATTGTGCAAGTAATATTGCTAAAGAAGATATCCTGCATTTTAAAAACAAGTACTCTGTTGATTGCAGTCGGTTACACGAAGAGGGATGTGGTATACAAGTGGAACAGTGCGAGGCAGGTAGCAATCGCTGAAGATATGAAATTATCTCAATTCGATTTAGTTGCCAACCCAACTGCCAATTATTCTGCGCCTCCAACATTCTCACACGGTAAGTAAAAGATACACTGTTTCGAATAATACAGCTTATTATTTTAATCACATTTTTGCGCAATGAAACCAATTCTGAAACTTGTAGCATCCGTTAAGTTATGAAATTGATCGCTGGAAATAGTATCTTCGAAATTGTTTCGAAAGTTAAAATAATAGAAACATAAATTCAGTTATAGAGAACAAATTTGTATTTTGCAGAATTGGTAACTAAACAAAAATTCGATTAATACTTAATACATCTAGGTACCTTTATATTTCATAGGTATCAACCTAATACCTACAGTGATTTAAATTCAGTATTTGAAATACGTATCTCCAAGCATGTAATTAAATTTTGAATAAGCCCTTATTATTTTTAATTATTATCAAGTGGATAAATATTGATAGAATAATAGTTAGGAGAGAGCAGGGACAAAGTAACATTTTTTATATTTTACCTATTTCTTAATCAGCTTTTAAAGCTGTAGAAAACAGAATGCCATAATAATTTCTTCCATAATATCGGGATTTTACTGTTAATAATATTTTGTTTTAATAGAATAGTAAATTTTTTGTTGAATATCTAGAAAAATGACATTGGACTACATTTAAATGATTTTAATAACGTGATTTTCGTGTGAAGATTTCATGTGTGACTTAAGTGAAAAGTTCACAGTAAATAAATAGTAGTAACAAAATAAGCACCTTAATTGTATAATTAATGTCTTTTACCAAATTCAGTATACATATTTTCTTAAAAATATACGTGGATACAAATATTAACATCCACTTCTACGTGTTCTTGACTATACGATAAGAAATTGTAATCTTGCTTCTGATCTGATACCTCTCGATCTCTTTCCATGGGGAAATCAATGATATTGTGCACACAGATATTCCAACAAAAGCTGAAACTGTGAAAGGTGATGCTTCTAACATGCGTGCAATCATTTCTTCTAGTACGCCTCAGAGTTTCAAACGCGTTTGTTTTTTATCTGCATAAGTATATTGAGTTTTGTGTAGAACATTTTCAGCATGTAAATAAAAAATCACACAATTGAAGTATTAATTTTGTTATTATATCTCACTCTCCAGGTATTTTTATTTTAATCATTTAGACTCGAAATTCTCAGTCCAAATTCGTTTTAAGTTCATATTATTATAAAGAAAATAACTCCTATTATTAAAGATAATAATATAATAATCCTATTAATAAAAAAAATAATTCTCTAAAAATTATTTAATGATCTTTGTAATGTTTATCGTTGAATTTAATTTTTTATTATTCTTAACTTCCATTGTGAAAAATTGAGTTCCTCAATTATCAACTTTGGGCTGAAAGCATCATGCAAAGGTTCTAAGATAAATGGACCAATATTTTTCCAGTTTTTTAAAAACATAAAAAAGTAAGGTTATTATTATTTATTATCCTGAATTATCATCAAAATATTGATAACCTTGAAATTTCGGAAAAATGAGTGTAGAGCTGGATCAAATTATTCATTCTATAATTATTTAAAAATTAAAATGATTCATTATATTATCTGTTTCAACCATATAGATTGGTTGTTAACAATATGGAACCATATAGAAGGTTGTTACTTTGAAAGCTATCATTCTGTAATCAATATTGGCAATTTGAATATTTTAAATTACAATATCTGCTAATCCAGTCTTTTTTCAAAATAATCAGATCAATACCTTTTTATAAAAAAACATATGGTTGCATTAAAAAACAAACTTAACCTTTAAATCTTCCAATATATCAAGTTATATCCTCCTCGAAACAACACTTTTGTCTAAAACATTTATCAATAGCCTTAAAACTATATTCTGTTTAAGTCGACATTGCATCGTTTCATTCGAAAGTTGTATTTTCACGAGACAGTAAATCGTGGCTTTAGACGCAGCAATACCTCAGAATCATGTCATATAAAATTTCTCAATTCCACATTGTTATTACGTGATATTCGTACAATGTGAGTTAAACGTAGTTACATACCAGAATTTACATATACTTCTTCCATACACAGGGTGTCCTGTTTTCTACCGCCAAACTTTACATATTCCGTAAACAAAAATAAGAATATGACGTTATGTTTTAAACGTTATCAAAAAGTTGTAATAGAAATGTGAAAGAACTTTGACCTCTTTTATTTTTCTATGCCACATAGAATGTGTTTCAGTTATGTACTTAAAACTTTATAAGTATGTTCTATAAATAAAACTAAAAAAAATGTACCATAAGCATAAGCTTTTAAGTGTTTTATCGAAAGATTTTTAGGAATATACTAATTGATTATACACAATTTCCTTCTACAAGACTAAATATGAATAGTTGTGGATTTTCATACTTTGTTTAATAACTTTTAATAATGCATTCGGGGCTTATGTTCATGTAAACATTATTTCTTATTTTTATTTATGGAATACACTGGTAAAGTTATAAAACTGGACAAAACTGGAATATTCTGTATGTGATGTCGAACAACGTGGCACTCCGTTGTCATTTTGTATTTTCGTTATAACTTTTTCAAAAATTGTTTAAAACCCTGTGTTGATTGTTGCGAACCGGCGAGGTGTAACCATGTAACCGGGGGCTGCATATAGGTTATAGTATTTGTTGGTAGGTTAACTCAGGATTGTTAATTAACCCGGGCGTTAGAGAATACTAGTCGAAGTATGGTTAATAGTGGGTGCTACGAAAAGGTTAAGACGTGAGGACTAGCTTACGTATGATTAACGCCGAGTGCTCCAGGAAATATGTGAACGAACCGACGTATGACTAACGTCAGGTGTCACATAAAATGTTAATAATAGGTCTCGTAACTACATTTTGACGGTATGCCTCGTGCAGCTAAAATAAACCGACAGGTGGGTCCTTGGACTATAATTACAATTAAATAAGGTGATATTTGAATGTGAAGTAATAATTGAATATATTCTGCAAAACTGGTTTAAGTGTACTTGTCGGTTGAAGACTGACTTTAATTTACAAGAGTTAATAAAACTTTGACTTGAACTTAATTAATTTCGATTCCCACAGAGCAAGAATCTAATTCTTTCCAGGTTTAACGAAAAAAAGTAAACGGAGGTCTAAGAGAAATCGAAATAATGTTTCATAGTACATTTACGTACTACATGGTTAAAAATGGACTCGACAAGGATTCTAACCTGATCTTGTACAAAAATTTGTCTGGACTGATGTTAAAAAACCGATTGAAACTCGTACAGAGTTTCTTCTTATTTAACGTTCAAGAATTAACTGAGCTCGATACGTCTTTCCTGCAACCCTTTTTATACCCGAAAAATAAGTGGCAAAAGAGTAGTAGTGGAAACGGTGAAAACAGATCAACGGAAAGTAATTGGGAGATATTTCTTCCTCGTGTTGATCCTGATTTGTCGAAAAATTCTAGTGCGATACGAAATAAAAAGGTTCCGATCGGTGGGAAAGGTAGACTTTTGCTTCTTGGAGGTCTTAAATTACGCAAACATCCCGCTCTAAAATAGAAAAACGCACGGCGTACGTGATAGATATAACATTTTTATTTTGTTTTTAGAAATAGAATATATTAATAAAATTTAGTGGTGAAAAACTAATGAGACACCCTGTATGTGTTGCCCATGATAGCATGCGGTTTCAAATAATGTAATAGTAATGTATTTTCCTTACTGTCATCACAGAAAACGCAATATCGTCTGTTTTCACGTGACACTAAAACTCATGGTTGCTGCATCAAGACATTGTAACGCGATTTAAGCAAATGTTCTCTCAGAATTTACTGTTTTGGGATCAGTACGTAAATAAAAATGTTATTGATCAGAACTATTTAGTCTTCTAAATATAGTCATAAATTATTATTTACTTGTGATACCATTTAAGTTTTTAAATACTTTGTCACATGGTTTGTATCTTTTAGATTATTTTTGGACCTTCGGCATAAGCTTGATGTATGTATGGACTAATGTATGATGTGATAAATTTAATCAACTATAAGAACACACATAAGTAATAATATGAATTATAAATAATAAAGATAAACATATTTCAGTGATATTAATAATTACATTTACTAATTTATATTTGCTGAGTGTAGAATTAGCAATTTATCGATTTTGTCAATTTCTACGTTATAAACAAACTTTCTCGCAAGTACTTGAGTAATGTTCAAATTCATTTTTCTTGAAAATGAAGCCTACGCAGAAATTTTATTCTATATTTTTTACTTATTTCTTTATACAGATACAGTGAACATTCGATATCTGCAAATATCACCTACACCATATGTGCAAAATATTTATCCCCACCACTGGGAGGAAGACCCCTCTAGAGGCTCAGAAGCTTGATTCGTCGAGAAGTATAACGTGAACCTGGTTGTGTATATCCATGAGACAATACCAATGAAAATGTAAAACTTTCCTATTATTGACTTTTTTTACATAAAACTTTCACTAACACATTTATAACATTTTCCTGATAAAAATAAGACCAAACACGATATAATTTGGATTATATTTACTGGTTTAATTGATTATAAAAGTTTCTAACGCCGTAGAGGATAGCGAGTGAAAAAGAAAGGGACGCTGCGATCGTGGCAGTCGGCAAAGATCAAAATTCTGTTCAATTGTTTACAATGCTAATGAGTTTCTAACTTTTTTATTTTTAACCCATTTTTTATACAACTTCCTCCATCATATTCGTGACATTTTTCTGATTAAAATTAGACCAAACACGGTGTAATTTGAGTTATATTTACTTGCAATATCTGATTGTAGTAAAGTCATCGATGTACGCTCAACATTTAAAATTACAAATAAATATGTCCCGAATTACGTCGTGTTTAATCTCATTTTGAAATGAAAGTTTTATTTAAGAAAAATCAAAAATAAAAAAATTTTATTCTTACATTAGGATTGTCCAATCGATATGTTATTGTTTCTTTGCGTTTGGTATCCTTCATTCGCTGTCCTTTTCTACGTTCGACAAAACATTAATCAATGTAGGACCTGTACAATATA